CTAACGACAAATTTTTAGTGAAAGGATTTATTTCCAATAATTATTATAGAGCAACAGTACTGTTTAGTTTTATGGAAAGAGGCCAAAGAGACAGTTTTCGTTGTACCCTTTACTGATATAAAATGCGTTGCAAAAAATGATTTGCCACATGGGGTGCTGAATTTTTTGAGGCAATTGTCTTAATGAAAAGTAGTAAGCAAACTATTTAAATGCCCTAATATTTCTTAGTATTTACAAGCTTGATCAATAATACTAATCCAGACAACCTATTTTAAACGAATGCTACTTTAAAAATATAGTTTTTAACGATATTCATTTAGATGACAGAGGTTATTTGGACTGTCTTAAAATAAGTACCAAAACTGGTATTAAATCTGACATGCTTTCTCGAAACAGGTCTTAACGTACGTTTCAAAGGCTCAAAAATTTTTTTTAATTTGGTCTCAAAGTACGTCTCAATTCGTCTATTAACAGATCCTAAATAAGTACTCGTCTAAAAAAACATAAAAGAATAGGTCACAAAATTGGTCTCAAAACTAATCTAAGAACTGATCTTAAAACTACTCTGAAAGTATGTCTCATTACAGGTCTCAAAACTAATCTCAAATTTAGTCTCAAAACTGGTCTCAAAACTAATCTGAAAAGTGATCTCAAAACTGGTCTAAGAGTACGTCACATTATAGGTCTCAAATCTAATCTCAAATTTAGTCATAACAATTATCTGAAAACTGATCTCAAAACTGGTCTGGAAGTACGTCACATTATAGGTCTCAAAACTAATCTCAAATATGGTCGCAAAACTGGTTCCAAAACTAGTATCCAAACTAATCTAAAAATCAATCTTTAAACTGGTCTGAAAGTACGTCACATTATAGGTCTCAAAACTAATCTCAAATATGGTCTCAAAACTGGTCCCAAAACTAGTATCCAAACTAATTTAAAAATCAATCTTTAAACTGGTCTGAAAGTGCGTCTCATTACAGGTCTCAAAACTAATCTCGAATTTTGTCTCAAATTTGGTCTCAAAACTGGTCAAAAAACTAATATGAAAACTGATCTCAAAACTGGTCTGAAAGTACTTCTCATTACAGGTCTCAAAACTTATCTCAAATTTGGTCTCAAAACTAATCTAAGAACTAACTTTAAAACTACTCAGAAAGTACGTCTCATTACAGGTCTCAAAACTCATCTCAAATTTAGTCTCAAAACTGGTCTCAAGACTAATCTGAAAACTGCTATCAAATCTGGTCTGAAATTACGTCTTATTACGGGTCTTAAAACTAATTTTAAACTTGGTCTCATAACTAATTTTCTTTTTTTTTGTTGGGTTTTGTTTTGAATATTTTAGTTGTACTTTGTTTAATTTTTTTTATTTTTATCTTAGAGTCGCCTACGAGGGCGATGCTTTCACGGTTTTTTTATTTTTGTATGATTAAGTGTAATATAAAAACATATTTATAAGTATCATGCTAAACAGACACACATAAAAAAATTCATATTTTTTACATAGTTTATAACTTATATTCACTGTACTCACATATAAACTAAAAGAAAATTAATACAAATTTACTTATGATCCTACTTTTGGTAATATAAATACAATAACTATTGAATGTTAATACTATCATATATTGAGTTTATTTATTTGCGTTCGAGGTGGTAGATTTTCTCTATAGTCTATTATGAATATTACCAACAAAGAGCTTATCGCATTAAAAACTTCATACTTCTAAATAAATTAAAATGCAATTTATTAAAATTGATTAAGAGTCCTACGCTTTGTAGTATGAATACAAAACTAATTATTTATTTATATGTATAAAGTCTGTCTTTTTTTTCTTGGACAATGTGGAAAAATAGATGAAAACATGTATTTAAAAGTAGTTAGTAGAACTAAAATATTCAAGTATGTATAAAGTTAGTGAAGTGTAGTGAGATGTCTTGATGAAAATTGCTGTAAGTAAAAATGACATAACTATTCCTGAATTTTCTAATATTGCTCACTGTGTCAAATCATCGCCTATTTATTTTTATACATATCGTAAATCTTCAATTTACGGAAATCCTAAATAGTGCCCTTACTTCATACGGCAACTTTGTATGGAGGAAAACCATGTTTTAATAAGCTAAAACTTTTTTACAAAATTTTATGTATAGATTACAAAAATATATCTAGGATTTATATAACTAAATTTTTATCTAGAAACTGTTATTCTTTTTTAGAAAATAAATGATAAATGTAACGAGTTTTGAAAACTGCATTAATTAGAATTCAGCAGATAAAGAAACTAGTCACAAGCAGATAATTTCTAACCAATTTATGTAGAAATACTTTCTAATAGTTCTGTCAGTCTTTTTTTATTTGTTTGATTGCAAGAGCCATTAAAAATTTGTTGTTCATTCGAAATTTTAAATTCATTTGCATATTGTAATTTTAATATTGGTAATTTATAATNGGGGGAGCAAAACCTCACTTTAAGTCTTACGACTATATAATATAGGAAGATATATAAAATAGGTATGTGATATGTATGTTTCTACGCGACGACTAAACCAATGCACTTGCTGAAGCTGATGGATATAGGTATGGAGAAAAAATACAGAAAGAGAATTGAAGGCAACTTATACGTATGTATATTGTATACATATATACGTGTTACATGTCCCGGTCTTTACATACACTTTTATATGTGTACATGTATGTAAAAAACGTGCATAGAGTATTAAATATATGTAATATGATAAGCTAACCTTTGAAAACAAGAAAACACGCTGTATTTAAAAAAAAAAGCAAAATTTGCTAAAAATAACAATTTTTATGGGCATCCTAAGGGGTAACTACATGATCAAGGTACACAAATATAGAGGGATCGGACTATGTACAAACATAACCTTAATATTTCCTTCTTTGACTGTATCTTGAAAAGAATAAGTAAAAAAAAATTTTCTTATTCAGTATGGCATGTTAAGAACATCAATACGGATGTTGACAAAATCTTCGAAGAATATTTGTTACAACATAAACTCTCAAAATTAGAAAAACAGTCGTATCTCGAAAGCGAAGCCAGACAGGTCAAAAATAGTTCTACATATGGAAAATAATTATTGAGGAGCAAAAATATATGTTACTCGGATTCGTAGAAACAATCGTAATAATTCTAAAAATGATAAGTCAATCTTAAAGTCAAAGCTACATCCTACATATTCTAGCTATAAATTGATTTATTTTCTATTTTCTATCGTGTATTATAAAAATAACTGTCGCGTAGCCAAAAGCTATATCCTCATTATTACTTTTGAGTTAGTAAAAACTAGTAATAAGCAACTGGGAAATTTTTATATTAATTTGTAAATAATTATAGAAAACGAATCGAATAACAAATTACATCTTTACAATGAAAAATAGCGACATATCTATTGTTTTCTTTAATCTCAATCAGATAGAGTGGATTATTTTATTTTTATGATAGCCAAAACTAGAAAAAAAATTGTATTTGTTAGATACAATGATTCCAACAAGAATTGATTGTACGTGTATGATGTCATATCAAATGCACGAATACTAACTTTGAATAAATGGAATTTTTGTCCCTTGTAATTGGATAAAAGTACTTTTTTTCACAGCAGCATGGTGGAAATTTTTGTTTTGTTCTGCATAACATGAAAAATAATTTCTACATGTATTAATACATATCTCATGGCAAACAAGGAAGTACTTGAAATGTGCGAATTACGTGTAACATAAGAAATATGCATAAGTATATGTATTTTATACACGTGTGTTTAAATCCATAATAATTGTAAAAATTTTACTATTTTAATAGCGGATTTTTAAAGACCTATTGGAATTAGGCGTTATTTAACTTTCTCAGTTTTTTAATGCCTAATTTAATAATATTTGATTTGGAAGTTTAACATCTGCCGAGACCCAACTCTGACTTTTTAAAATTGTTTTTTAACTTTTAAAGCAAAACAGTTTTCTTGATAAATTTTTTTTTTTAACTCCATGGATTCAATCGAAAAAATTACAAAGTGTCAGGTACCGCGTTTTCACGTTTTTTGTTAATATTGGAAACCTTTATTATTTGCTTATTAATTAAGTTCAGTGAACCATAGGTTCACTGAATCATAGATAAGATAGTTTAATGAACCATAAATAAACCGTTTAATCCGGCTATCAAACGGACATTGGTAAATCTATACATAAAAATTATAGTTAACAATTTGTCAAGAAACCTTTTATACTTGAAATGGTTCAAATATGATGGAAAAAAATTATTTCTACCAAATCATTAAGCAAAATGATATTGCATGAATTTGGCTGGACTTTCCTAGACTCTTGATCGTCATTACAGAAGAGCCTATAAATAACATAAAAACGACCGTACGTTAATGAACTATACCACGGTCGCCAAGCTGCAGATTGTTATAAATCTTTCTTCATGTTAAAGTGCACATCTTAAGGTAAAATTTGAGCCTAGATGAGTAGTAAATAATGCCGTGACAGCTGAGTAACATGTGGTCGAAAATTGCAAAAAACGCATTTTCTCAAACTTGAGGGGTTTAGGTGTAAACTTTCCAATGAATTTTTTGTTCAAAATGTGCTAAAGAATCAGAATAAATTTTTGTTCATCAAAACGGTAAAATTTTTCTACTTGTTTATATGATTTATTAATAACAATTATTCGCTGAAAAATGAAGACAAACACTATGGTCCATCGTTTTTAGGAGATCAAAATATATCAAGTAAAAAAAATTCCGTGGGCTCGAATCTTTCACGGGAACTTATCAGCAAAACCTAACTATAAGGAATTTAACTTCAATAACTGTATAAATACTCACCCCATTACGATGAAAATTTTTTTTAAAAATAATTTTACAAATAATTCTACTTTTTACTGTGATTACAATACAAAATAGTATAAAAAAAAATTTGACTTAAAAAAGGTAAAGCGACAAAAGCAGAAAAACTGAAGGATGAGTCTGGAAAAAACATGTACCTTAATAGTGGCATCTTCGCTGGCAGTGATTACGAGACTGAACACTGGGTGAAAGATGACTTTGTTTATAGTTGCCCTATGGCCAGCAAGGCAAAACTTTTCAGGAGGCCGGGGTATCCAGTCAGAAGGTGATCGCTTACCCCGCGTCGGTGCACCTTCGATGAATTCTTTCTCAGCCTCTGACAATTTGGACTCCAACTCCATTACCTGTACATATTGTTCAAAATCAGTTTTTTGTTATTACCAAGTATTAGAAGTGAATTTAATTCAGTTTTTTTGAAATCAACAATATCCTAACACTCTACAGTCATAATAAATTTCTGTACTACAGCTTATAGACACATCTAAAACATCTACATATCTACATATTTAGGATAGTTAAATAATAAATGTTTTGCACAGCAGCTAGAAAGTTAGTGCTTTCAAACAGGAGGTCAGATAAAATTAGTAGCATTGCTGTTACATTAGACAAAACTGATTTACCGGTGTAATTAATAGTACCATAATTTTTGCAGAGGTATAAACGCAACAACGATGACAGCGACGCTAACGATACAATGACTCTAGAACAATATGCAGTTTTTCTTGTAATGCTGTTTACTTCAGTGCACTTTTAAATTATTGATTAGGCAAATAAAGCGTGTTAATATGGCTCATGACCATACGATAAATATACTAATTATTACTGGTATGTTAGTTATTGCAGTTTTTAATTAAAAATAATCAATAATTGTTTAAATAGTGAAAGGTATAAAAAAAAACTTTGAGCAACACCATTTTTTGTATCATTGGCGCAGAAAATGACTAACGAGTTCAAAGAGCGCTATTAGTGACCATTTGCGCCTGAGTTGCGAACGATAGGATGTTGCCAAGGAAATGAAATGTTGTTTTGTGACTATGGGAAAGATTTAGGTCCTCTAACTACGCAACACCCTGGAAAAGTGGGTACAGGACAAAAATGCCTCACCATTTATTACGCCTATGAAAAAAATGTTGGTTTTTAAAAAAATTACTGTTTTATCGTGCCTGAGTATTTTTGGGAGAGAGGCCAGATGGTATACAAGATGCCTATACAGTATAGTACAGTAAAAAGGGAGCAAAAGAAGAAAAAAAAAGGGAGAGAAGAGGAATCATAAACTACAGTGTGACATTATGCTAACACATGCGACAGCTTTTGTCAATAATATGACAAAATTTTTTCAGTAGATTAATTATTAAAAAATTAAGAAGTTACACCAGTAACAAAGCATGTACTTATTCAATTACAATGTATTTTAACTTTAAAAATGTAACGAGTTTTGAAAACTGCATTAATTAGAATTCAGCAGATAAAGAAACTAGTCACAAGCAGATAATTTCTAACCAATTTATGTAGAAATACTTTCTAATAGTTCTGTCAGTCTTTTTTTATTTGTTTGATTGCAAGAGCCATTAAAAATTTGTTGTTCATTCGAAATTTTAAATTCATTTGCATATTGTAATTTTAATATTGGTAATTTATAATATTAGGTGAGGGTTCTCATACTTCAATACTCAAGCTTTGAATTATGCATTATCTTTGATGCCAATAGCCGAAACACTGTTCTTAAAAGTGAGTCAACAGGGAATTTACACGGTCAATTTACAGTAAAAGTTGGTACCTTGCGTTATAAAAAAAACGACAATGATATGTATATTTAGGGCATTCTCTGTCAAATTAGCTATCTCCCCTAGCTCGTTCTGCACACAATGATTTTTCAGATAAACTAACGTTATTGGGCTTGAAATTGTCGTCATCTATTCTACTTGTTTATATCATACGATCATTCTCAATTTTTTTAAATCACAGACCTATTTTGATTGTCAAAAGAAGGTATCCGTCAAATTTGTTCGCTTAATTTGAATATGTTTTCAGAAAAATATAATTTTAACTATTGCTATATTTTTGGGATCACTGATTATGAAAAATATGTCAAATTTCAAAAGTTTGTGGTTGTAAATAGCAGATGGCAGCTGAAATAAGCAGTTTCACAAATTTCCGTCATTTTACTGATAGTAACACGTATTGAAAATAAAAATTTAAGTTTGTTGGATTACTGATAACATTTTTCTCATTACTTTACACAGATTTTAAAATGGGAGATCCAAGATGGCTCCTCAAAATGATTAATAACAGATTTATGTACGATTCATATGGGTGAAAGTTATTTTATGTGGTAATGGTGCATGTTGGGTATGAAAATTATACATTTTTCAGGTAGCTGATTTAACCACCTTGTAACGGCTAGTAATTCATTAAAAAAATGTTCAAGATAGTGAATCTATAATATCTACTAAGAATAATTAACAGCAGATTAAGGTAGAATTAATTAAGATAGAAGTAACACAACCTGATTATAGCATGTGTTGGAAATGAATAAGAAATTTTTTGGGATCACTGATTACAAATTATTAATTTATTACACAAATTTTTAAAATAGCAAACGCGAAATGAATGCTAGGAATAAGAAACTAGTAATTAAAATAAAATTTACAAGAATAATTGTAATTTTTCGCAATTATAGCATGCGATATGTTTCAAATTACAAAGTATTTATCAACCAAATAAACTTTAAGATTGAAAAATCTGAGATAGCCGTTATTTATAATGAAGATCAAATAATTTTACATGATTCTAGCATGTGCTGGGTGTAAAAATCAAAAATTTTAGGGTCACTGATTACGAATATTACATTAGTTCCATAAAACTCCAAGACGCCAAATCCAAAATGGCCACCAAAAAGAATTTATAAGGGGTTATGAAGGTATGCATTTTCATAATGATAGTATGTCACCGGAATAAAAGTTCATTATATAAGTTCCAAACTTTAATATTACTGATTCATTCAAAGCTTTGTTATCTGATTTCAGTGTATACCAGTATTAATACATACATAAAGTAAGAGCTAACGATGAGTTTTCGAGTAATCGATAAAATATCACATGTATCCAATTACCTAATCAAAATACTTCTGTGTAACGAATTCAAACTACAGTTCAAAGGACTTTGTGAATAGAGTGAAAGACATTCCAAACAAAAAAAATTAATGTGTTTAACTTCGACAAAAAGTATTATGAAAAAATAAAACAATAATTCAACCAAATACATAGAGAAGCACACGCTTTACTCAGGATTACTAACAATCAAATTGAAAGTTTTTGTATTAAAAAATACCTTATAAGTCTACATAAATTTTATTTAGTAGATCAAATTCGGTTTAACTTGAAAAAATTATTGTTATACTTAGATACCTCCAATTTGTCTTATCAGAAAATTAAGTTTCTAAGTATTAAGAGAAATTTTTCGTTTATTATAAACGTTTTTAAAGTTACAGTATTATTTGATATTATGTTAAAATCATGTTGTCATTTTTATTTTTTAAATATTTTGTTATTTCTTGATCTTCAAAGGCAAGGTTTATAAACAAAACCCTTTTGTTCTGTACAACGTTTCATCGACCAAAGTGTTTACTTTTACAGGCTATATTAAGAAATTGTAGTATGATTAGATTTTGCAAGGTTGTTCTACAATAACTTACCGATCAATCGGAAAGTTACAACAAAAAGTGGTTTTTTCGAAAAAAACGCGAAAATTAAAAAATTGATTAAAAATCGATCGATAAAAAATCATTTAAGGTTTGTAAGCCTATATACATAATATTACTAAATAGAAGATGAAAAATTAAACTTTACAGAAAAAAGAGTTATAACCGAATTAAAGTCAGTGGTCAGTGAGTACTTGGGTACCCAAGTATGAAGTTATACTTCTACGAAATTATATGGCAGAGAATTTAATTATGAGTATAAAAATACCTTCTATGAAACAATATTCTATACCAAGAAGAGAAAAAAATAATAAAATTTATAGAGAAATTCCAGCAAAAATTACCATTTCGTACAGTTAATCGGATGCAAGCTGTCAAAAAAGAAAAAGGGCATTACTTCTAGCAGTTAAAGGGGGGAAAATAACTTCACATACATCAGCGAAAATATTTATACTCGGTTTTTTTGCATTAATTTTAGCAAAATAAAATCCTGAAATTGAACTCGAATGTTGCCAGGCTTAAACGTTGGTCTAAAGTTATTTTAAAAAGTTTCGCAAATAGTTCAATTCAACTCCAAAAAAATTTTTTGTACTATCTTTGGACTATAAACAAAAAAGGTTCTTACAAATTTTCTCTAAAGTTAATACTTTCCGAGATAATAATTATTAAAGTTCGAAAAAATGCGAAAGTGGCAATTTTTATCCATAAAAAACGATATGAAAACCAACAATTTTTTTGTTGCAAAAGTTCATAAATACTCTATAAACATGCTTGAACATATTTCCAAAGCTTTTAATACTATTATTTTATAGTAACCCCTTGTTTTTTAACTCTGTTTTGGGCTCTCTGGCGCTATAAAAAAGTATATCTATATATTATTAAAGAGAAACGTAGACCTTCATATATACCATGGTAATTGCCAATGTATTTTGCGCTGCAATAATTATTGTAAATATTATGCTTTGACGCATGAATCATGTTTTACACAAATTTTTATTCAGAAAGTTATGCTTGTTGGTAGCTCTGAGTACGAGAGTTTTAAAAATCGGTGTCTTGCATGTGCCAAAGTTATTTGAGGTTTTTTTGCGACAACAGTGTTGTTTACATTTTGTTCCATAATTAAAATAATTTAAATGAGTATATTAGGTTCCATAATTAGTTGTCGTCAAGTGCGTTTTTTTGACACATGTTTTCCGAAAAAATTATTTTATAGATATAAGCTTTAACTTATGATTGAGGTGGAAAATACATATGTTCGGATACCGTTACCTTCTTGAGAACGTTTTATTTGGCTGTTGTTGCCGCATTACAATCGTCGTAAGTCTCAAGAAATGAAAACAGATTTGTTTCCATACGGCTAATATTAATTATTCCCAACTCTACTACAGTTTTTACTACAGTTTTTTTGATAAGGATTTTTTTTGTTACCTCAATGGGAGGTACAAAAAACAAAGTCATGAGTCTATCCCAGATTTTAAAAATGATTTTAATTGGATTGTGTAAAATTTTGGTTCCTGCACCGTAGTTTATTTTACATTGTAGGGATGGATTTTATAAATGAGCGCGCAGTGGCTCGGTCAACTAGGTCGTGGATCGGCACGCGGAAGACTGTGGTATAATTCCCAGCCAGTGCGACTTTTTCGG